ACGCGTATCGAGTAGACTCTACTACCAGCACAAGGCAGCAGTCGTACCACTCACTGCACTGCACTGCAGTACAACTACAAGTCAAGTCCAAAAGGAGCCGCCTGCGTCCGCAGACTCACGCCACACAGCACGTAGACGTGGACGTGTTCAGTCCACGTACGTCAGTCACACGACAGCCCGCCGAAAAAAAGTTACGGTCGGGCTGAAATTGTACGGTCGGTCGGGTGAGTCGAACCACACACCTTCTTTAGTTTGGCCTTATTATTATTATTTAAATTTTGAATAGGGCAATCCCCACAGGCCTAAGGCCTTTTAACAGGGTACCCTATGTGGTCACGTATAGATGTTGGGAAATAGTGAAAGCGAGGAGCAAGAGCGAATGTCAGCTGGAAGAGAATTCCAGCGGACAGAAGCCAGAAAGCTCAAAGCGAATAAGCCATAACGAGTGCGTGCTTTAGGCAGAGCAAGTGAATCTATGGACTGGGAACGTGTACGGGCAGCTGTGTGTGTTGTGGCAGAACGAAGGCAGAAGCAATCAGAGAGCAGAGTACTACACAAGCCACGTAGGGCCCGAAAGACAAGAACATACAGTTTAAGCTGATAGCGCAGTGCAATAGGAGCAAGGCCATATCTGGTGTGTAAGACTGAAACATCATCAATCATGTTGTGTGGTGTGAAGGCAGTGTACAAACGCATTAGAACCATACTCAAGGTGTGCTTGAATAAATGAGCAGCAGAAGATCTTTCTCGCAGTCGACATAATTATAGGAAATGCTTACTGTGCAATTAGTTGTCTTTGTAGCTATACCGTAGTTCCGCGCATATAAGCCCATGGGCTAATATACGAAATAATGCATTTTCCGGGGAAAAAATCAGTAATAATGGTTTGTTTTTTAGCCCTGGGCTTATATTCGAATTTTGAAGGCAGCTGGCACGTGAAAAAGTACAAGTCTGTGCGCGGTTGTCCGCCTACTGTAGGTACCGGTGCTGGTAATGTAGTCTGCACTGACATGCTGCACTACGGTGTTTGGGTCTGTTTATTAGCCCATGGGCCTATAAACGGAGGTGGGCTTATATCCGGATATACAGTCAACTACTTCGCCAATAACGACTGCGGATATAACGACAATTCGCGAATAACGACTGAATGTCCATGCCCAGAGCAAAGTCCCATCCATAATGAGACTTCGGGTATAACGACAATTCGCGAATAACGACACTTTTCTGATGCCCCGCCGAGTGTCGTTATGCGCGAAGTTGACTGTAGGCCCATGCCTGGCTGGAAGCCTACACAATCTACATGGCCTGCGCACTGAAACATGTGCCATTCCGAGCACTGGAGCTGGTGACGTACCAGCACATTATCTGTACTGCCAACCAGCAGTTTGCGACCCCAGCTGTACTGGGGTATGACCGTGCCTTCCGTGCAGCGGTGGCAACAACCTCGGCTCGTTGGGACGCAATCGACCAAAGCCTCTGGAGCCTGCACCTGATCCGGGCACCCCGACCATCATGTCCGCGCTTCACAATGCACCACAGCCGTGACCGTTGCCCACAGTATTTGGCAGGGCCACATGCTCCAGCTGGCACCAACACCGGCCGTCCTACGCAGCCATTTCTGGCCGGGGCGGGCAGCACCCGCCAAATCTGCCTCAACTTCAACCGTGGCCGCCCATGCCAACACCAGCCCTGTAAACGCTTGCACGTCTGCTCAACCTGCGGTGACCGAGGTCATCCCGCCGCTCGCTGCACCAACGACGGTCGCCGGGGACCCCGCCAGACGGACAAGCCCGTCGCAGCGAAGTAGTCTCCCCACGCCTCTGTACATAGCCCGCCTAACGACTCTTTTGCCTCGTATTTTCTAATCGTGTCACTCTGGTGCTTCTGTATCTATCATCTCTGGCAACCTCCCAACTGCCATTGAACATGCTCAGTTTGTACAACAACAAATTGCTGACCGGGTCTGACGTGACGAATCGGCCGGTCCTTTCTCTGTCCAGCCTTTCCACCCATTTGTATGCTCTCCGCTCGGCGTAGTGCCCAAGAACAACGGGAAATTCCGCCTCATTCACCACCTGTCTTATCCTGACCGTATGTCTGTCAATGATGGAATAAACAAGAATTCGTTCTCCCTACATTATGTCACAGTGGACGATGCCATGATGGCGAAGCTCGACATACGCAATGCATGTCAACTGGTCCCTGTCGCACCCACTGCATACCATTTGTTGAGTTTCCAGTGGCAGGGCCAATTCTACTATGACAAAGTACTGCCATTCGGGCTGAGGTCCGCACCCTACTTGTTTAACTGCATTGCGGACGCACTTTGCCAGATAAGCTGTGAACTGTTCCAGGTTCCCCATCTCCTGCACCTTCTGGACGACTTCCAGCTCTGTGGCCCTGCAAACTCAACGCTATGTGCGCAGCGTCTGAACGTAGTCCTCTCCGTATTTCGCTACCTGGGAGTTCCCATTGCCGACGAAAAGACAGTCGGTCCAACCTCCTGTCTCACCTTCCTGGGCATCGAACTGGACTCCGTCCAGAAAGTGGCTCGTCTCCCACAGGACAAGGTTGACGACATCCGCTCCAGACTATTGGCCTTTCGCCAACGCCAATCCTGCCGTCTACGGGAGCTTGAACAGCTGTTGGGAAGCTGAACTTTGCCAGCCGCGTCATCACGCCGGGCCGTACATTCATGCGAGGACTGTATGATGCCACGCTCAACGTTTCCAAGCCCTACCACCGCATCCGTCTCTCTCCAGAATGTCATCTGGACCTTCTTTGGTGGTCTCACCTACTCAATGGCTGGAATGGCAAGTCATTCTTCCTCGATCTCCAGGCGACGCTGGCCAGCGACATCCTGATAGAAACTGACGCATCTGGCGCCATTGGGCATGGCGCAGTTTACGGCACGCATTGGTTCGCCGACACCTGGTCACCACAACACACTCCACTCTGCATAATGTTCAAGGAGCTGTATCCCATCTGCATTGCATGTGCTACGTGGGGCCACCAGTGGCGTCGCAAGCGTATCCGCTTCCATACCGACAGCGAAGCTGTCGCCGCTGTTCTCAAGTCTGGCACCAGTCGCTGCCCTAATGTGATGTCACTCCTACGGCAGCTCTTCTTCATCTGCGCCAAGGGTAACTTTATGGTCACCGCCCGTCACATACCTGGAACTACCAACATCCTTGCTGACGCTCTCTCCAGGCAAGATTTCAAGCGATTCCATTCGTGCCACCCTACCGCCGCTCACGTGCCCACTCCCGTGCGTGCTCTTCCGTCCATTCCTGGGGAGACTTCGGCCGTGCCTTGCACTGCCGAGTGCTGTCCCTCCAGGAAATCGCGATTCCACGGATGCAACAAATTTCGCGATTTTGGCCAAAACCCGCAAATTTCTGAAAAGTCCCCGATTTCCCGCGTTTTTTGTTGTTTTCTGCACTTCTTTTTACATTTTTCTGCACTTTTCACGCAGTATACAGTGCTTTCTATGATCCTGTACCTGGATTATTTGCACAGTACGCAAATAGCGATTCTAAGGATGCAACAAATTTCGTGATTTGGCCCAAATCCGCAATTTCCTGCCAATAATTCCGCGAGTTCCTGGCAAATTCCGCATCTTTCCGCCGCATTTTTTGTTGTTTTCTGCCGCAATTTCTTGCGCAAGTTTTCAATGACTTTTTCCGCAAATTCCCGCAGGGACAGCGAGTGGCGGAAGTCCACATGCAAACTGCCATGAAAGCTGGCAGCACCGGTCCAGGGTAAGCGCTGATCAGACAGACTGAGCCCACTTATTGTGGGTGCCAGAGCATAACTGAATATCACCAATGTACCGACTGTACACTCAGTAACTCAATATCACTCTACTATTGTCCACAATCTGTGGCACCCCTCTACAGTTAACACTTAACAGTGAATAGGAGGTTCTCTATTTGGGGAGTCAACCTTGCTTACCAGGCTCCTCATACGGCTCATTCAGCCTCTCACACTCAGACGGCTCACTCAGCCTCCGCAGCCGGGCCCTGCCCGGCTGCCTCCATACGGCTCACTCAGCCTCCGCAGCAGGGCCCTTCCCAGCTGCCATACACACATTCACACAGCTCTAAGCTGTCACTCACTCGGAGCCTGGCAAAGCAATTGACAAACCCTCCTATTCCCCAAACTGGTTGCTTGTTGTGTGAGTGCGGCATGCAGATGCTTGTGTTAACACTCGTTTCAACAAGAACACCAAAGAACACACCGAACAACGATCGCCAAATCGCTGTCCTGAGCAAAACGTGCAGCGTGCGTGCATTTGGCTTGCGCCGCATGCATGCACACAACGCCGTACATGTACGTGGCATAGAGAGAAATGCAGCGTACAGAAAATGCATGAATCATCGTGGCCATAGAGATACTAAATATGGCGACTGCCAAAGTCCGGTTGCAGCGCGGAGTGCAGGTGCAACGAAAAGAAAAGCAATAATTTGAATGCAGAACAAACAGAAACTCGCAATCTGCTGAAGTGAAAGAATAAAGAATTGTTGATTACGGAGGTGAAAACAGTGTCTGTCAAGGGGTGCTTGCACCCAGCGACAGGGTGACAGCACACCCTGTCAGCGAGAGTAAGTTTCGTCAAGTAGATCGTAGCGGAGTTGCCGCGGATGGCGATAATGCAACCGATCAAGTAAGTGACATGTACATGGCAACCAATTAGTGTGTCAACAATTCTACTTATATAATAAATTAGCACAATTCACAAGATATTCCGCTCGTGAACATGTCGTGGTGCGAACACAATTCTAAAGTTCAAGAGCGCAGTCTCCTGTCCACGTAATGTAGCTAACATTTGGCAAATGTGACTAAGGAAGAATGGATTTGATGAATAGCATAGCCAGTCAGTAAGATCGAGAACACACCACGGAGAGAGAGAGAAAGAAGAGAGAGAGAGAGAGAGAGAGAGAGAGAGAGAGAGAGAGAGAGAGAGAGAGAGAGAGAGAGAGAGAGAGAGAGAGAGAGAGAAGAGAGAGAGAGAAAGAGAGACAGACAGAGAGACAGACAAAGAGAAAGAGACAGAGAGAAAGAGAGAGAGGGGGGGGGGGGGGGGAGAACAGTACCAGTGCGTGCTGCGTGAAGTGCTTGACACCTCAATCTGTGATGGAGCAAACAGAGATACGAAGACGATCACATAATAGTATACACCAGAGCTAGAATGGATTGGACGCATGCACATGCACACACACACACACACCACACAAACACATACACAGACAAACACCCTGAATCCACACTCATGCACACAAATTTAAAACATTTCTGGTGTTTTAAGATGCGACTAGCACTCCGGAAAATATGCTATATAGTAGTACATGCGCTCCAATTTTCCAGTCGTCAGAAACTTTGACTTTTCTCCAATTTGATTCATGCATAACGGATACCTCAACAGTATACTTTCTATCACAGCTGGGACAATATCTGATGAGAAACACAGCATCGCAGCCAAACAACAGACGTACGTTGCAATGACTTATTTTGAATTCAGGTAGTGCAAGAAATGAATGCAACCTACCGTTTACACACGGGCCCGTCGTGGCAGAAGCTGGTTCATCTTGTCGACCTTGTCGGGATAGTTACCCCAGCGTTTGATGATCATCACTAGCTTGATGCAGCCGGCCTTTTCCTCGCTGCTTAGAATGTTGACCAACTCTCCGTTGTGAGTGCGTGTTCCATCTAGTTTCTCAATCCTCTTCAAGTTTTCTATCTGCTGCAGATCGGCGAATAACCCGGCCTCTTCGCCATTTTACGAAATGTTCCCGCTGTTTATTTGCCCAACCAAGGCGAAATATCGGTTAGAAAGACACGCTGCTGGAATGGGTCGCCGTACGACTTCTCATCCTCGTCTAATCAAGATATACATGGGATAAAAACACACACATGAACAAACATACGAAAAATGATTTACAATTCACAAATCACAATACGGGTTTTTCAACATCTTGCCATACCCCAATCGGATTCAATACCCAATAGGTGCCAAATTCATTCCGGAAAATTGCCGTACGCCCCACAAATGGAAGCTGTTCGGACCACAACTTCAGTTTCCCTTCATCAATTTTGCAATGAATCTCAGGCATTCTGGAAAGCTACTGCCCTACTTCCATCGCACTACTCCTCCTAGTCCTACTGCTTGCTAGCTAGCTACTTCAAGCCTTCAGACTGGCCTGATGCCAGCTGGGCTGCCAAAACCACGGAAAAAACTATGGAGCTGCAAAAGTCCCAACTGGCCTCTGCCTGTACAGCCTACTGCTCTTTACTTACCCACTGGATCAGCAGCAGATGCTCCTGCAGACGCTAATGCGGCCTCAGCAGTACTGCCGGGCTGCCCGGAACTTGTCGACGGGTTCCAGCTTGGCCAATAACCTTCTCGCGCTGGCTGGTGGCTCGACTTTACGGATACATTCAAGGAAGGTGTGGAAGGATTCGTCATCACCAGTGCTTAGTGCATCGAGCAATTCCTCATTCTGCGCTGCACGGCCAGTGTTTGATGCAAATAGCTGACGCTGTGCACGCGTAATCAACTTCTTAGCCTCACACTGGCGACGCATATCACCTGGAGTTAGCGTGGAAACCAGGTCAGGCCGAAGTTCTGTGAAGACGTCACTCTCCCATGCTGTCATGTCAGAGAGCTGTTGGTCAAGAGACTCGCCTGAAAATGTTGGCACAACACACACATAGAGAAACAGAATCAGACATTCGTGTAAGAAAATCCATGAGAGTGAACAATCACTCTTGCTATCCTCTCAAGGAGAGTGGTGGGAGAGCAGTCCCCCCCCCCCCCCAAAATGTTGCTCACCATTACTATCCAAGGCGAGCACAATACGGGTTTTTTCAACATCTTGCCATACCCTAATCGGATTCAATACCCAATAGCTGCCAAATTCGTTCTGGAAAATCGCCGTACGCACTACGAATGAAAGCTGTTCGGACCACGCCTTTAATTTTCCTTCATCAATTTGGACGATGACACGCGCAATAGGAAATTGAGACAATTCGCATCCATGGTAATTTTGTAGTATTCATCGTGGAGCGCTACTTTCTTCTGTAGCTAACCGCTCAAGACATGTGCCTGACGTCGCACAGGTCTATGCATGCCCGGACTGTCACACAACAGAGGGAAATCCTTTAGGTCAAACTAATAATAATTGGCACCCAAGTGCGGAAGTGAAATTTGCAATGGTACGTAAAATACCTTGCGAGTGGCGTAACTCCCATATTCGACCTCGGATCGACTTCCGATTAGTTGGAGGCGACAACTGAGAACCTTCTAATACGAATAGACCTTTCGAGTACTCGATTCCGTTCAGGAAAAGCCGAGTTACGAAATATTTGAGTGTTTGCAGAATGCACTTCACAGTGATGCGGATGCGCTCGAAATTCTCAAGGCGCACGACACACACACGCACGCACACACACACACACACACACACACACACACACACATACACGCACGCACACACACACACACACACACACGCACACGCACACACACACACATGCAGATGCAACGTATACATGTACACACACAGGTGGGCACGCACACACGGTTTGTTGCAGAAGTTTATTGTCGCCACTGAAACAAACAAGGTTCATTTCGTACTCGGACGGACCCCTCACTCCTCCAAAATGAACACAGTTTGCAATGCTGGACACCACAAATCAAGTGCATGTACACGTAGTGCATTGTAGAGCAAGTTATGATTTTCGACCTCGCACCCTCCTCCTCCTCTGCCACGAACGATGTTCGCTTCAGGGCGACAAAATATGACAGCGACCCCATAGCAATTCTATGACAATGTAATGTCAGTTGTCCAGGGCCCAAAACAGAGTCAGAACTGCAGTGTTGGCTGGTATCAAACACCAGCTTGCGGTGAGAAGAGGCTCAAATTTTACATTCTATCCACAGCAGATATGGTCCTGTGCTCATGCAGTGTTCAATACCCGAACGGGAATAGCTAGCTCAAAAGGAAAAAAGAACAGCGTACCGGTTTCCTTGCGACTAAAGGTTCACACGAATGCAGACATCATGCAAACCATCATTTGGAAGTAGCAGATCTGTTTGAATTGTGCATCCAACTAACCTGAAGGAAGAGAGGTCGATCTCGGGTCAAACAGCTTTCCACATGCATGCTGCAGGTATTGCAAGAGACCAAGTACACGCAAGCACATGCCCACGCCCACACGCACACACCCGCACTCACGCACACACCCGCACGCAAGCACCCGCACACACACACACACACACACACACACACACACACACACACACACACACACCCGCCCACCCACACCCGCACGCCCACACGCACACACCCGCACGCGCACACACACACCCACACACCGGCACGCACGCGCACGCACACACGCACACACAAATACATGTAAATACACACGAGCAAAAGCACACATGCATGCAAACACGCACACGCACAAGCCATAATTGCCGAAGTCAGAGTAGGCACAAAATGGTTATCTCCTCATCCACATGACGGGAATACGTGGCAAGGTAAAGAAAATAGAGACATGGTGCAACTTTGTGTGTGAAGAACTCTCCTCCTAAACAGAGATAACACAGAATTACAACAAGGCCTGGTGGAACTTGTCTCATGGTTCGTGCCCCCCCCCCCCCCCTCCCTACAAAAACATATGAACTAAAGCAAGCGGCAGGCGCTACTAACGTAACGTCTTTTGCATAGCTGCGGGAATTCAATCAGGTCAAGTCTCTCACCTGGTCAAGGCCCAGCCAGAACATGGCCTGCTCACGGATCATCGGAAAACTAGTATCCCGCTTTGAACGTGGACACAGTGGGTAGTCTTCAGCCACTAGGGTGGAAGCGTACAAGGCGTGCGCACAGCTTGGTGCGCAGCACGTAGATAAGCCATGCTGTAAACACTCCTTGCCCGATGTTTCTCCGCAGGGGCATGGCAATGTGCTGATCACTTCGACCTGCAGGCCCCACTTCCGTAGCACTGTGCGCACGATTGCCCGGACATCATCCAGCGTAGACTTTCCGCTGCCGCCGTGTGGGCCCTCGCACTCGACGTACACTTGTAAGCCGTAGCGTGTATAGTGCAGGTGCAGCCACGGCCAAACGCTGCTCCAGCGAAGGCAAACGCTGCACCGTGACAGCGTGGCAGCCGAGCGCTTGTGTGACTTCAGCAGCACCTCCACCACGCATTGCCAGTACAGGAACACGGGAAAGTGCATCAACTCATCGCGGTGTGCGTGCTTAAGGGACACGTAGGCACAGGAACAAGGCAGCTGTGGGTCCGTGCCCATGTCCCGGACGATTGCAGGTACAATAAACTCGTGCTCAGCAGACCTCTCATCCTGCACAATTACCAGGACTGAGAGCCATTCTAGGATTTCAAAAATGAGCTTGAACCCATCACTGCTTGCTCTGACTGCTTGCCACGCCTTAGCATGGTCGCAGTAAGACTGACCCTCGAACATCTTGTTGAGAGCTTTGCGTGCCAGGGACTCCGTCATGAACCCAGACTTATAGCGCCGCGCTTCGTGCACTGTGATGTCTCGGTCAAGCTTCATGTAGACAAAGGCATTGACACAGTCCAGGATGAACTGGGGCTCCAGGATGACCGTGTCTTTCAGCTTGAAAGTTGGGAAGTACGCCAGGTGGCCTGCTTCGTGGCAGTACTTCAGCAGCAGCTGTATTTGCCGGTCACTGCAGTCATGTGGAACAGCCTTGACTTGCTTCGCTATGAACTTTGCCTCCTTGAAGGAAATCCAAGGCCACGTGACCTCCTGCTTGAGCGTGTGTATGGTTATGCAGAATCGGAGCCATGGAACAGGGATGTTACGTTGGCTCTTCCGGCAGCGGTCGATGATGGCCTCTCTCAATCGCTGCAGCTCATCTGCTTGTGCTGCACTTCCAGTGGATCTGGTGCTGTCGATTTTGAAGTACGATGTTTCGTTCCAGACAAGGTTCTTATAAGGCGAACCTTCTATATTCTCTTGAAGTAGTTTACAAGGATCAGGCAAATCGGTTTTCTTCCACATGTCACTCTGACACCCCACTACAAACACATCATCTGCAGCACTCTGGTCTGTGCTGCTGTCAGCTTTCGCATTCAGCAGCAGCATGTCGAGCCAGCTTAGCAGCTGGTCTAGGCGAGTCGCATTGGCCGGTAGAGTGGCCCGCTCGATACATTCTTCCTGGCTGAACTGAAATTTTTCGAGCTTGGGAAGGGTCTCTAGAAGGTCCAGAGAAGAGTTGTATGTGGCAATAAAGGTTGTGTTTTTGGCCATGAAAAGGGGCTGCACGGATTGGTAGACTTGCTGCCCTCCAAGGTCGCGGAATGTGATGACGGTGTAGTCGGGCGTGTTGGCCCGGTCAGAGATGTACTTTACCCGGTCTGCGGTGAGAAATCTTGTGATGGTCTCGTGGATTTCCTCGCGCATTGCTGGCCCGTCGCTGCTGCTGCTGCTGCTGCTGCTGCTGTCCTCCATAGGTCCTGCATGGGTCCCAGCCACAGGATCCTCGCCTGCTGGGGCTCTCTCTCTGTCATCTTGTGTTGTCTCTTTGCCTCGGGGATGATTCGAAGTGGATGGTTTGCACATCATGGTGATGACGTAGAGTCGACTCAGAGCATCTGGCATGTCTGGGCATTCGATGAATCGACAGTCATCAGAGATGTTTGTAGTTGCGTAGGACGTGCGCATGCCGGGCGTGCTGAGTTCATCCTCATTGTGCATCTTCTCAAGCAGCGCCTTCAGCAAGCTGGTCTTTCCAACGCGCGCCGCACCAAGTATTGCCACGTGCAGGAAATGGATGACGGTCGTACCGCCCAACCTGGCTGCCTCCTGCTCTGCTGCTTCCAGTTCACTGATACTTGGCAGAACAGCAGTATCTCCTGGGCACAACGATAAGCACAGCACACATCAAAAAATGTTGTGTAACTGCAGGTGACATTTATAGTTTGTTGTTTCTTTTGTATTGCTAGCAAGAAATCATACAGCACAGGCAACAGGAATGCAAAACAAGTGAGAGTGCATCTTCACTCCATGCACTCGTATTATGAGAAAGCCCGCTTAACTCGCAAGTTTACGGTCACGGGTGTGTCTGAAAGTCATTGCTTCCCGCAGAATAACCACTCCATCACCGGAATATTGGCAGACAGGAGACACCTGTTATGGTGTTGCTACAGTTGAGGCACCGGGTTTTACAGTCCAGGGGCGTCACACACGGTACCACCAGCACCACCATGCTTGTACCACTTTTCGCCCCGGAAGCTGCGCCCAATTCATCCAAAAAACAAACCATAAAAGAGCACTAAAATGTGCCCTGTTCACCCAAAAATCACTATTTACCAATGTTGCAAAGAATAGCAAAATCACAAACGAATATTCTAACAAATATGCACAGTACGGAAAATATTCTACTATTCTACCCTTACAGACGAGCCCATTTCAGCACACTATGCTTTCTTGTTTATTTGAGCCAGCGCGTGCTAAGACATGACCACAGCTTTTGTGGAAAAAGTCGAGAAAATCGCGATTTGAATTCCGCGACAACAAAATACGAAGTGGAGTGCGACGCGAGTTGCTATTCTTCTTCTCCTCGGTAGACTGGACTGTTCTGGATGCAACTCTTTGTTGCAAGTACATGAAAGTTTATTCGTTTGAGTTTGGATTCCATGTTGCACTCAGTCTCCTAAAACGGATCGTCAACGATGTATCGAAGGAAGAGGCTAATGTACTTCGGAGCGGAAGAAGACGACATCCTCGCGTTCCATGCGCAGGATGAATTATTTTGTGGACTTGCATGGGAAACAGAAGTCTCAAAACTCTCCCACACGGAGCTAGCTTTACGATCCGACATCACGAATTTCTACTGACTTGAAACTAAGCAAAGCGGACTGATACTATTCGAAACTAACCGAGAACTGCTACAAACTACGAAGAAGAACATAAGTATTTCTTGCGAAGGTGCAAACTACAAACGGCGTGTAAGTCAAACTGGGCAGCAGCAGCGGCAAGCGACAATATGTTGATGATGTCATTTGTAGCTCAATTGCAATGACTGTTGCACATTCTACGATGCAAGAACGCAGTGAGCGTGCTGCGATGAGCGAATTAAGCCTTTGTACGGAAAGTTGTACACGAAGTGTAGCATTTCGAATATTCGACTTCTGACTCGCATGTTCGAATATTCTGTGCAGCGCAAAAAAATCGAAGATATTCAATTACCGTAAAGTCGCGGACAAAAGCCGGGCTTATAAGCACATAAGCCGCTTTCTGCATCAGGCTTTAATGCAAACCAGGCTTGTATGCAAACCATGCTTATACGCACCACTGATATTTTGCCAGGCTTTTATGCACATCCGGGCTTGCATAGAAGCCAGGCTTCTACACGCGACACGCGTAGATCTACCACTGACTACCGGTATGGCAGCAGGTTTACTATGCACCGTACATAGCGCACGCACTCTTGACCCACCCGATCCGCGCTTGCATAGAAGCCAGGCTTCTACGCGCGACAGGCTTATATGCATTTGACCCGTTTGATTTTCAGGCTTCTATCCGCGATGTGCTTGTATGCAAACCCGGCTTTTATCCGCGACTTTACGGTATTCGAATATTTGTTGCAACACTGCTATTTTCCCCTCGGGCTTTTTTGATGCCATTCAATGAAAAGTGTAGTGGATAGTCACTACTGGAGGGTTCATAAAGGCACATTTGTCTGTTGTGAAGTCGGAGGTTCACCCCGTACATTGCATTTTGTATGGCAAGACAATTTCGGAAAATGCTAAAATGGGTTACGGGGTAACTGCTTCCCATACCCCCCCCCCCTACTATTTTGACCTGGCTAAAACCCTGCCATCATATCTTCGTGCTAATGGTACTACTGTTGAGGACATGGAAATCCGGTCGCACGTCTAGCGGCCCCAGGGTGCTGGCCATGCAGCCGTGGATAAGCGGTACACACATGCATTTTATGCGCTGCAGGGCGCTGGTCGCATCAGACCAACATGTGCCCAGCACGGAAGCGTTCTGTACGCGCTGAGGGCGCCGGCCCCGATCAATCGACCGGATTTCCATGTCCACGACAGTACTTGGGGACATACAGCTCTATTGCTTCAAACTGGACATATGCTTCGTTAGTTGCTGCTCATCATGAGCAAGTTGCTGCTAGCGGCCTAGCATTGCTTGCCAGCTCTTCGAGCTTTTGCATTATGAGACCAGTTACTCAAAGTAACACATAGTTTCCAAAGCCAGTCCTTGGTGCCCTGACTGAGTGTGAATATGTGAGGGATTGGATGCTAAATAGTATTCCAATCAGTGATGCACACTAACCCATTTTTCAAGAACGAATACTCTATCGAATACCAAATCTTCGAACGAACGGATAATCTAGTGTTCGTTGAAATTTCTTGACGGCCCACAAACTTCTGCATTGCGTCTGTGCTTTTTGCCAGGGATACCTTCGCATCCGTGGCAGCTACAGCCGTCGAGCAAGTAACACGCCGCCGGATAAGATGTTCCCGCATTGAGCTCGTAGTCAAGCCATTGAACTTGAGTTTGAATTGAACTTTTGCGCCTCCATCAACTTTCTCGAAGTGCTCCTAAACGGAGCTGCCAGAAGCCATCACGAAAAACGAACTGGATGTCCAGAACGTTCTTCAAAGTGAAAGAGAGGGGTGAGTTGGACCGAACTAAAGTAGTAAAGAAGAAGGCACCATGGGCTCCCACTTCGCAACAGCACAGTGTGTGTACTGTACTCGTACAATTACACGTGCCCTTCGCAACTGTACTACATTGCCGGCACTCTATTGTTACTACTACTGTTTGGCGCGCACTCGCACAGGCCGGATTCGTCAAGTACACGTACGGTAACCGCTGTACTGTAATCTGTAGCAGCGGCCCTAGCTCTACTGCCGCTAGCGCAGGGTCCACATGTACTCGTACAAAACTAGCATGCTTGCCACACATAGAACATGATTGTACAGCTCTTTGAAGGAACTTTATTACTATTCGACTATTCGTGTGCATCACTGGTCATGTCTCGTAACTTTTTGGCGGAAAAGAAGTTTGAGAATTGATTTGTCACTTACCTGCCTGCAGCTGTTTGGCCTCCTTCATAGAGAGTCAGAAAAAACAGAGGCACAAATCACACATATGTGTTAGACATGCTCTCTCTCTCTCTCTCTCTCTCTCTCTCTCTCTCTCTCTCTCTCTCTCTCTCTCTCTCTCTCTCTCTCTCTCTCTCTCTCTCTCTCTCTCTCTCTCTCTCTCTCTCTCTCTCTCTCTCTCTCTCTCTCTCTCTCTCTCTCTCTCTCTCTCTGTCTCTGTCTCTCTCTCTCTCTCTGTCTCTCTCTCTCTCTCTCTCTCTCTCTCTCTCTCTCTCTTTCTCTCTCGGTGGTCGTTCGTTTGCCCTCGCTGGGCAGTATAATTTAGGCCCTAGCGGGCAGTATGCTTTTCCCTTGGCGGGCAGGTTGTCGTCGGCCTCGGTGGCTGTTCGTTTGCTCAATAGGCAATATGATTTATCCCTCGGTGGGCAGTATATAATCGGCCCATGGTGAGCAGCATGCGTTGGCCCTCGGTGGGTACTACGCTTTATCCCTTGGCGGGAAGTTTGCTTTAGCCCTCGGTGGGCAGGCTATTGGCCTCGACGGCCGTTCGCACGCCCTCGATTGGGCTATACGCTTATTCTTGGCCCTCGGTCGGGCTAAAATCATGCGCCCTCGGACTAGTTATAATCATGCGCCCTCGGTCGGGCTACAATCATGTGCCCTCGGTCGAGCTATAATCATGCGCCCTCGGTTGGGCTATAATCATGCGCCCTTGGTCGGGCTATAATCATGCGCCCTCGGTCGGGCTAAAATCATGCGCCCTCGGTCGGGGTACAATCATGCGCCCTCGGTCGGGCTATAATCACGTGCCCTCGGTCGGGCTATAATAATGCGCCCTCAGTCGGGCTATAATGATGCGCCCTCAGTCAGGCTATAATCATGCGCCCTCAGTCGGGCCATAATCATGCGCCCTCGGCCGGGCTATAATCATGCGCCCTCGGTCGGGCTATAATCATGCGCCCTCGGTCGGGCTACAATCATGCGCCTCGGTCGGGCTATAATCATGCGCCCTCGGTCGGGCTACAATCATGCGCCCTCGGTCGGGCTATAATCATACGCCCTCGCTTGGGCTATACGCTTCTTCACACGCCCTCGGTTAGGCCGTATGCCTTAACTCTCGATGGGTAAGCTGTTGGCCTCGGCGGCCATTCATGCGCCTGCAGCGGGCAGATTACTGGCCCCGTCGGCCATTTGTGCGCCCTTGGTGGGCAGTATGCTAACGGCCCACGGCGGGCAGGATTACTTAGCCCTCAGTGGGCTGGCTGTTGGCCTCGCTAGCCGCTCGTGTCACCGGTCTACGGTGGGCAGCTGCAGGCTAGCCCTCGGTGGGCCGTTCGTGCGTTTGCCCCCGGTGGGCAGTGTGAATCACTGACGATCGAACGTGATGTTACTCAACTATTATCGTTTGTTTTCTTGGAACTGGTCTATCATCACGTACTATTATCTTTAATCAAATTGAAGTCATGGCAACCCCCAAACCTATGTGTTGATTGCTTGTGAGTGAGTGCGTGAGTACGTCGTTGTACGTACAGACGGGCGTGGGAGTGTCTGCAATTATGTTTGTGCACATGAATGTGTGTGTGTGTGTGTGTGTGTGTATGTGTGTGTGTGCGTATGCAGAAGTATGCCCGCAGACCTGGGTGTGTACCCGTCGGCCTGGGTTTTAAATTCCAGTTTGAAAAAATATCCCACACACTACATTTGCAGCGCGCACTTTCAACATCGGCACTTTTGCTCGTGTGCAAAAGTATAATCGTGAGCACAAGGGCCCCGGCCAAGTTCAAAAATCAGTTGCAAGCGTGTGTCCAAGTTAATCGTATGCGAGTAAATATCCTTGGAAACGGTACGATAAATTTGAGTTTGCAGGTCGTGTGAATGGCCTACTTCCTCCGTTAACAAAAACTTCATGATGGATTTTGAGTAGGGCTGAAACAATTATACCGATAACTCGCCTATCGATCGTTAAGAGTGCAATCGATAATCGTAAGTGCTCAAAACGAGTGCTAACGATTTTTTATGGATGCATATCAGTGACAGTATTCTAGCCCTTGCACTCCATCCTATAGTGGATACGAGTGCAATCATGTACTTTCAAGCGCAGTAAAATTGATTTGTGGCTTTGAAAGAGATTGGGAGAGAAGACTTTGCCTTTTCGGTTCATTTGTGGGAGAAGCCGGAGATGAGAGCAGTTCCCAGAGGGTGATGACAAGATTCTTCGCTCTAGAAACAACATGAAATCCTCTAGTTGAGTAGTTCATGTTGATAAAACCAGCCAGATTCCTACAGATGTCAACAGTGCGGTGCCACAAATTTCTAACACAGCAAAGGCATCATGGAATTTCTTCATAAACTGGTGTTCAATAGAGCCGACAAGAATCGATAAAACCAATATATCGATCGTTAACGATATTGGTTGATCGTTAGGAGTTATTGAATGATCGTTTCAGCCCTAATTTTGAGGGACAGGTTTGCACACAAACTGCTGTGAAATGAGTCGCAGTCACTTTCTCGTCCTTCCCTGGCATGCCATGAAAAAGGTACCATGCAAGGAAAGCGACCTTTCACAACAAGCGAGCGGAATCGATGGTTGAGCTGTGGCAACATAGGTGAGGACAGTAATGGCGAGCGAAATTGAAATATCACTTCTCCGAGGGGGTAATACCTTGTTTGGCCTCTCTACTACTCTAGCACTGAGTTTGAGAGCAATGGAACGGAGCAGCGAGCCCACACAATGAGCGAGTGAACAAGGAGGTGCTCCGATCGCACGGCGCAATGAAATAATTCTGAACTCAGGTTCTTGTTCAACCTGCGCAAAGCCCAGATTCGAATGCTGATGACCGTGCATTCTTTTAGAAGTCTGCAGTCCGACGCAAGTCTCGTGGCTAAAGAAAGTCGACTGGACTTGCTAGCCGCTGCCGTTCCGTGTTGGCAGGGTATCAATCACAGAAAATGGAATCAGTTTGGCTGTGCCTTTAGTAGTCCTTTACTCCTCGTTTCGCGGAGTTCTGGAGAGCGAAGATGAAACCAGGGAGTCGTAAAATATTTTTACGACTCTCTGGTGGAAACGAGTAATCACCACCGCGGCGGATCACGCAGCTTGAAAGCACACTTACTTCAACGACGGCGACATCAAGTTCAGCGAAGTGTGATCAAAGAAGCCGAAGCAAGGCTGAAACGAGCTGAACGACTCGAACAAGATGACGACTCGCGCGCAGCAGATGACGGCAGCGAACCAGGGTCAAAAATGAGTCGAGCAAAAGCAACGCAAACTGAACTATCTGCTCATTCTGCCAATAGTTTCTCTTGTAAAGATGCTGTACATAGGCTGAACTACCTTCGTCCAGTGATTTGCAGGCGATACAAACTGTTCTTGACCTATTCTAAGCGTTTTCCTATCGATCAAAATCCATCACGAAGTTTTTGTTAACGGAGGAAGTACTTTGTCCGCCAAGTTAAAATTGCCACTTATCTTCACTCTTGTCTCAAAACGAAAATACAAATATTCGAAGCATGCCACGATCAGAAAACGCTATGTATATGATACTTTACACGTCAGAAAGCAACTCAGCCGAAAATCCTAGCAAGTTACACATCCTCCTCACCACTATCGTCGCTGGAGGAAGAGCTGAAAACATTCTATCCAGACAGATGCTGCTCGTTTCATAGCTTGTTCCACTTCTCCTCGTCTCGAATCACGCTCAAAGGCAGTCACCTGTCGTGCATGTCATCTTGCCGCTCAGAAGCAAGACTCTCAAGACGCATCGAGCGCGTCCTGGAATCTGTACAAAAGTCTAGAGCTCGTACAGAGTCGATCGTTTCTTTCGCAGTGCAATCAATGCCGCTCACACACCAACGGCCCGTGCAACCTCTTTTGGACGACCCCTAATGAAAACTGTACAAGCTCACGCGCCCACAGACTCGTAGCACATGCCTCGTACGGTATGACTCATCATCTCCAGAAAAGTCAACAAAACGAAACATACCGCCATGGCCAGACCAAGCGGAGTTACACACTCTCGTGTTTATGTAATCTTGATCTCATAGACAGCTGTACAAATGTAGGACATGGTGGTGGTAGGTGCACCTCACGTGACTCACGTGACACCTAGTCACTGCATAGTTCAACCAATCAAATGTACGACACGCTGCAATGTTTACTGTATACACACAGTACATCTAAATTCAGTCACTCACAGTCAAGTCTATTCAACATACCTTCGCACTCTCGTGATCCACCAGCAACTGCACACATCCCTCATGCTTATGGTGCCTGGCTAGATCCAACGCTGTTTTCCCATCCTGAGTAACTCAACATCACATCACAGGAACAACAGAAAATCATTTTTGAGAAAATTCGTTCCAATTAATTTTTACAAAAACGAAAACACAACGAAGGCCAAGGACATAATCTACAACGAGACGAAATCAACCTCTCCACAAGACAACTCACATGTACAGAACAAGTCTCTCCTTCCTCAGCAACATTGCTACTCCATGCAGTTCATGCCTCGACAAATTTGAATTTTTTTACAGATTTCTACTCGAACGAAAATATCCACGACGAGAGGAAGACGTCCACAGCGCCTGCTCCACGTCAGGAACAACAGCATGTCTTCTGCGTACTCGTTACAATAACAACAACCCTTCACTCCTCACTCGTTCCAACAGACACCATCAAACAGTCTACTCCTTCACACACTGATTTCGAAATTATTCAAAAAATGAACCACAGAGTGAATATGACCACGTGGCGATATTGTACGCATGATGTCATCGAGTACGGTATTGTACAACTGGTACACATTTCTGACAAGAGGAGAGTTGTGGTAGTTGTGTGTGAGAGAGAGAGAGAGCGAGGGGCAGAGAGAGAGAGAGAGAAAGGCAGGACAGGTGAGAAGGTCGAGTAGAAACTGTTCACTTCACAACAACACACAATCAAATACTTACACTGTCACGCAGTGTGGTATCCAAGGTGACACCGTCACTGTCATGTGACAGCATCACCTTGACAACGTTGATCTCTTTCTGGTAGACTGCATAGTGAAGTGGAGTGAATCGTAGCTGTAGTGTAGAGAAAGAGAGAATGTGATGAGTATTGCTATACAACCATTACACTAACTACTACAACCACACACCGACACAGACCTGGACAACTAGAACAAACGCATCAACACACACATACACACACACACACACACACACACACACACACACACACACACACACACAAACACACACACACACACGCACACACACGCACACGTACGGGCACACATGCACACACACACGGACATGCACACACGCATGCACACAAACACTCACACACACACACACACATGGACAAACATAAACATACATGTACACACACGCAGATGTACATACACATGTGGACATACAAACAGAAGGACACACATGCAGTAACAATGAACAGCTTGTCTTACAGACACACAGATAGACATGTAGGAACATACAAACTGAGAATTCAGTTGAGACAACCAGACTCTAAACTATCACTAGTTCTTACCACGCTGTCCTGCACATTGACATCAGCTCCACGTCTGATGAGAATATTTGCTAGTCGATCATTTCCATGCAATGCACACCAGTGCAGTAGTGTCCAGTTGCCCTGTACACACACACACACACGCACACACACACACACACACACACACACACACACACACACACACACACACACACACACACACACACACACACACACACACACACACACACACACACACACACATACACACACACACACACATACACGCACACACACACGCACATACACACACACACACACACACACACACATACATGCATACACACACGCACATACACACCATCATACACACACACACACACGCACACACGCACACACGCACACCCACACACACACACACACACACACATACACTCGCACACACACACATACACACGTGCACACACACACACGTGACGGACACACAGTCAGTTGTACATCCCAATGACGCAAAATCTTGAGGCATGTGGACAGACGGATACATGGTACAGTGCAGGGATACAGAAACACTGGAGTGAAACGTCAGACAGACAGACAGACAGACAGACAGACAGACAGACAGACAGACAGACAGACAGACAGACAGACAGACAGACAGACAGAACAACCATGACAAACCTGAACAGTACTGAGTCTACTAACAATCAAGAACACAACAACTTACACGAGTTTCGTCTTGCTCGTCCACCTCTACACTATGTACACTAAATATGTAGTGTACAATAGTGTAGAGGATTTCATCACGAAGATGCCGACCCTCCAAGCAGATCACAAAAAGGAGCATTGTCTGTGTGATATACAAAACAGAAAAAAAACGATTTGACAATTACAAAAACGACAGCAACAATACTCTCAGTACAATGCCATCAGGAGTTAGGAAACCTACTGATTGACCTCAGGGGTCAGCGATCCAAACCAGACAAATTGCCATAACTTTATTCCAGCTTGAGAGAAGCTTGCAGCAATTGCACATCTTGTAAAGGTATGTCACACCAACGATTCCCACTGGTCAACAATCACTTGACAATGGTACAGACAAGAAGGCCAGGTGTCACAGAACCCCCCCACACACACACACACTGTACAGCAACACTCTACTTACTCCCATTGAGTAGCAGTGTGTCTTCCAGTGTGATGGTAATGGTTTCCATGTCACTTTACGTGATGTGGAGGACAATTGCGGCTGCTCAGGAGGCACAGCAGCCTGAAGACTTTCCGTTGTGGCATCCCGTCGCCGTACCTCTACAGCAAATCCTTCTACTTCTCGACTGGACATATCTGTACAGGGACAATGCATACACAACACAGACACACAGACGGACAGACAGACAGACACACACACACACACACACACACAGACAGACACACAGACAGACACACAGACAGAGAGACAGAGAACAGACAGACTGACATACACACACAGACACACACACACACGTGCACACACATACACACACACACGCACAGATGGACAGACAGATACAAACAGACAGACAGACACACATACAGATGGACAGACAAGGGGACAGAAAATGGGAGGTAAGAGAGACAACAAGTACTCACATACTATGACATACACAATGATCCAAACAACATTGATCTCACATGTCAATACTTGCATCTACACTGATGCGTACGCACACACATACACACTCATCATGACGTCATACCCAACACCATATTTAGAGTGGAATAACCTTTGACCCCACATCCACGGACATGCAGCTACGTCAGTCAATGACTGTGTCAGTAGCTGAAAAACGTTAGGACGATCAATGAACGACATCACGGGGACATCTTCACAACACACTGCAACACAATGCAATTTGCCTGTCTCAGCAAAACCCCAGAAACCACCGACAAATGTTACACCTCATTACTACAACTGCCTACGACAACTATCAACGAAAGAATACTGCTCTCCACCTCAAACAACACCAACTCTCGTACCGTTGACAACCAAGAAGAAAACGACAGTTCGAAGGAAGGTCTTCGCACAAAATGAATGGAACAACTTCAACTTCAACTTGACAAGCACGAACAGTTGCAACAGCAAACACTTGATATTTGAACAATCTTCATGTCGATCGCAACTAGAAATATCTATAAATCCTCTTGCTCGCCAAGTCTACCTTCGTTACAAAGAACTGAAATGTACTTCGTCTACAAAAGGTCAATCAGTAGGTCCCTGAATGGCCGTCATGTTGCGACACGGGACAAGGGCAAAGATGGAGACCAACGAGACGACAGTACTAACGAAAATATGGGAAGTAAACGAAGAGAAAGAGATGGAGTGCCACCATTTGTAACTTACATTCCTTGGTGGAGATACGTTGATGACAGTGAAAACGATCTACTTTTCTCTTCTTTCTCACTAAGTGTAGGAAACATCATGAACTTCTCTGGTCTATTGAGAGTTCTGAAAATGATCTATTCAGTTTCTAACTTGCCATACGGATAAAGTCACCGTTGAACTTCTCCTAGACGAACACGACTACAATTGAAGAAAGTCATCCTTAACGTTTCGTTGAACGTTGTCTTCAAGTAGCAGTGAAGAGAAACTAGAGAAGAAACTTGACGTGGAAGCCCGGAGGGCCAACACCTGCAAGAAGGTATTCAGCTGCTTGACGGAATGGTGCAGCAAAGGAGTAACTAGTTAACTCACTGTTTGAACTTTGGACTTTGATCTACAGGTCATGAACCGCTACTGAACAATCCACAGTTGCTAACTAGACCGATAAGATGTAGCACTCAGTGCGAGGACAGGGTCAGCTCAGGGGAGTGAAACGAATGATCCAGTCGCTAACGTGAGCCGTTTTTGAAATACACCCATGCATTATGTCAACCAGGTCAGTCAGTGCAGTGCCTGGCGGATTTCTACCAAGCAAGTGCACACACGCTAGTTCTCAACCATGTCACTCAGCCTCATGACCTAGCTCTGGAGTAGGCATAGTCACAGGGTGCTATATCAGTGATACTAATGCTGTAGGGGGATTTCAAATAGACCTATATCGCATGATTGTATTTTTACTTACTGACTGAGTTGTCCGTTCGGTGAAATCTTCCTCAAACGTTTGCGGTGTGGGCTGACTGGAGTAAGTAGGTCGTTTAGAGAAGGAGAGCGTTGTGCTGAACTTGTTACTCACTGAGAGAGCGTTGTGCTGAACTTGTTATTCACTGAGAGAGCGTTGTAGCCACCACAGACTGATTAGTAGTTGAGAGAACGAGTAACAATGACTGGAAAGGATAATGCACGACTAACAAAGGTAGGTAGGCACTGTTCAACAACACTAGAAGACGTTTACAACAAATGAGAAAGGGAGGGAGACGAAAACGGACAACTGGACTGTGTCGTGAGAAATGGAAGACTGAGCTGTGCCGACCGAATAGCGATGTGATCTAATGTTTGAACGAATCGTGCTTTACATGCATGTGGTAAATGGCAAGAGATGCTCACCGTCTGGCAGACCACGGACGGCCATCTACTCATACATTACTCATACTGGTTTAGCTGTGTGGCTGTGTGCCTTAGCTTAGCGATAACTCAGGCATCTCGTGTAGGCAGCACTGCGTGTCCGCGTGTGTCGTGGTTTGTCACGTGATATTCTGCACGTCTGCACGATGTCGTCGCTCTCTGCACAGACCGAGACCATAACAGGTGTTGTTTACATTGGTGACCAGAATCACATTCACACATGTAGACTACACACATAATGGGGGACCTACCCCATTACCACGTAACAACACTACCTGTAACCAATCACGATTCAATTTTTTTAATTTTTTTTACTAAGTACACCACAACCTACTCGTCAGAATGCTACGCTCTTCTCATCAAACACGGACAAAGAGCTGATGACATCATGTCTTAGGGTACAGTCCCATACAGACCAGGGTGGTGTTGGTGTTGTCAATCTGATTGTCGTAAAATTCTATTTTATAGCTGGTTGTTGCCAAACACATGTCACCATAATGACATGACGTCACTGAGCAACTTGACAATGTAGACATTGTAGTAGCTGCTTGTGTGTGGTCTGGTGTACAACTCAGCAACAGACTGTACATTTGGCTGATCGGGGATCAACAGGGCAGGTCTAATACTATGTACTCTACTACATGTATGTGTTGACGTGAAATGGTGTGTTGGAGTGCTGTTGCTGTTGCTGGTGTTGTTGTTGTTTTGAATTCTTTATTCTCACGATGGCACCATCGCCAATAAGAGATAAATTTATGAGAAGGTGAGATTGTGGGTTAAACAGTTGGAAAGTGATTTACATCACTTTGAACTTGTTGTTGTTGTTGTTGTTTGAATTTTTTTGAATTCTTTATTCTCACGATGGCACCATCGCCAATAAGAGATAAATTTATGAGAAGGTGAGATTGTGGGTTTATTATTATATTATTATTATTTATTCTTCTTTTGTAAAAAGGCGACGTGGAGACAATAATCTTAATAAT